TGACGTTTCCTCCACTCAAGTTATACCAACTGTTCCATATCTTATAGTACTCTGTTTCCTGCCTATCTCTTAGATCCATTGTTAGTTTGTTCATTTCCTAGCATTCTAGCACCTTTTTTACGATTTCTGCATTTGAGGGAATGCTCCCCCCCCCCCCAGCTTTGAGCAAATGAGATTCTGGCAGCAGTAATTATATGAAGCATTATATATTGGATATCAACTCGCTTCTTATCCAAGAAGCTTCTTCAGCTCTGACTGGATGGTGGGGAACGGAAGCATTTATATTCCTTGCAGGCAGCTGGTCATTTGCATCCTTTTTAGAGGGTCATTGAAGCACTTGGAGGTTTATCTGTGTCCTCAGGGCCACCTGAGTGATGCTCCTGGTTCCTGCAGTCTGCCATTTTTTCTCTGGAAATCCATTCCTACACTATTCAAAGGGAGTTCATCCCAATCTGTATAGTTAAAAGTCTGTAGAGATTCTCAGTCATCCTCAGTCATCATCCATGATAGGTCACTTTATCAAAATTCAGACACTTGGCAATTCGCATGCATTTACGCCGGTTGCAGTGTCCTGGGGTCATGTGACCCCCCTTTTGCGACCTTCTGACAAGCAAAGTCAATAGGGATGCCAGATTCACTTAACAACCAGGTTACTAACTTAACAACTGCAGTGATTCACCTAACAACTCAGGAAAGAAAGCTTGTAAAATGGGGCAAAATCCATTTAACAACTGTCTCGCTTAGCCACAGAGGTGTTGGACTCAAATGTGGTCATAAGTCAAAGACTACCTGTAGAATGACTGTGGCCAAAGAAAGGACAGAGGGTACCAATAACGAATGGCGCCTTGGGTGCAATCCCAAAACATCTGGAGTGCCATTTAATAGCGTTGTGCCTTTAACCACTGGACCAAACTGGCTCCAGCAGGAAAGGATGAGGACTTAGCAGTTCAAAAGAGGGAGGCTGTGTCACTTTTCTGCAAAAGTCATAAATATACAACTCACTTAACAACTGTCTCACTTAGCAACAGAAATTTGGAGTTAAGTGGTGGGCATAAGTCAAGGACAGCCATAAATCCCAACTCTTCAGATGTTGTGACCCTGGCAGCAGATTCGGACAGTGAGGAGGTTGGGGAGGAACATGGGGAAGGCTCTGATGAGGGCTCTGTGTCAGAGGCAGAGAGGGGGCCAGAGCCGTATGCCAGTTATCAGCTGCCTTCAGAGTCAGACATCAGTGAGGCAGAAGAACAGCTGGAGCCTGTTCCCAGTGTGCGCATGCGCAGAGTGGACAGACGAAGGGAACAGCTAAAGAACAGGGGTTGACTTTGGAGTAAAGCCACAGGTGGACAATGAATGGCCCCTCCCAGAGGAAATGNCCAAGAACTTCCAGTCTTAATACAAGAGGGAGGGAGTTTTTACGGGAGAAGGTGACTTGTGTACCTACTGAATACTTACGCAACATCAATCTTTCCATCCGGTTTCTTTGTGGCGCCGGTTACTTTCGTGTTGAGTTTAAATTTAAGCCCTTGTTTCTGGAGAATGCGCTGGAAGTTCTTGGATATCTCCATATCGATGCCCAATCCACCGACGTGGCCCAAGAATTCCACCGCCGTGACATCGGCACCCAGACGCTGCCAGACTGAACCCTGGGATCAACAGGTTTTTCAAAAAACAGGGAACGATCCTCGCGCCGGGCAAGCGAATATCCCGCGTGAAATAAAACATTCTTCCAACTTGAAATCCACGCCCTTTTTTATGTCATGTGACACAATCCACGGGAGGGAAGGGGACTAATTCATTCATTTTCTTTCTCCCCCCTCCCACCTCATGATACAACACCAAAAATAATTTCCAAACATTTATGCCAGACAAGTCAGCTGCCAACCAAGAAGGCCTCTTGTACAGCATGCAACGCAAAATATGTAGGCGAAGTGCATTCGCAAAACATAAAGGGTAGCACCAGCTTGGTCTAGGGATTAAGGTTCTAGACTGGAAATTGGGAGACAGTGAGTTCTAGTCCCATCTTTGGCATGAAAGTCTAAGGGGACTTTGGGCCAATCACCAGGAGATGGTGAATTATAGTCCCGTCTTAGGCATGAAAGACGGCTGGGCGACTTTGGGCCAACCACCAGGAGACGGTGAATTATAGTCCAGTCTTAGGCATGAAAGGCTAAGGTGACTTAGGGCCAATCACCAGGAGATGGTGAGTTCTAGTCCCACCTTAGGCATGAAAGCCGGCTGGGTGACTTTGGGCCAATCACCAGGAGACGGTGAATTCTAGTCCCGTCTTAGGCATGAAAGGATAAGGTGATTTTGGATCAATCACCAGGAGATGGTGAATTCTAGCCCCGTCTTAGGCATGAAAGGCTAAGGTGATTTGGGGTCAATCACCAGGAGACGGTGAATTCTAGTCCCACCTTAGGCACGAAAGCTGGCTGGGTGACCTTGGGCCAATCACCAGGAGATGGTGAATTATAGTCCTGTTTTAGGCATGGAAGGCTAAGGTGATTTTGGGTCAATCACCAGGAGATGGTGAGTTCTAGTCCCACTTTAGGCATGAAAGACGGCTGTGTGACTTAGGGCCAATCACCAGGAGACGGCGAATTATAGTCCCGCCTTATGCGTGAAAGACGGTTGGGTAGGGCCTGTCACTCTCTCTCTCAGCCCAACCATCTCACAGGGTGATTGTTGTGGGGAAAATAGGAAGGTGCACTGGATATATATTGCCTTCTTGTATTGTTTATTAAAAATAATAAAGGTGCGATATCAATAAATAAGCTCCGCGGGCCTTTAGAAGCATGAATTCAAACACTACGCACTCTTTTACCATTTAACTTCCACACCAAACCCAACCTATATTACTGTAACATTACTGCAATGATTCAAGGCTAATTCCCTGCTTGACTCCTCCCTCCCTGCCTGCCTGCCTGGGCACTTCCCAAAATGGAAGAATTAGTTGAGTTGCTCATGACTTAAATTTGGGGCAAATTCAATTTTGCTAAGGCAACGATATATTCCGGTTATTGGGTCATAGTGGTCTTTGTAGATAACAACTTGGAATTTATTCCCGAAGTCTGCTGGTAAACCGTGCTGAAATTTTAAAATTCCACGAAGAACACTTCCTCCCCCCCTCCGCCGCAAGCCCGTTTCTCACCAGTTCTACGCCAATCACTCCTGCACCAATTACCACCATTTTGTCAGGAACCTGTTTCAAAGACAGCGCGCCAGTGGACGATACGACGGTGTCTTCATCAATCTAAATAAATTGAGAAGAGAGAGAGAGAGAGAGGAGAGAGGAGAGGAGAGAGAGAGCAGAGAGAGAGGAGAGAGAGAGGAGAGAGAGGGGAGAGAGAGAGAGGAGAAAGAGGAGAGAGAGGAGAGAGAGAGGGGAGAGTGAGAGAGAGGGGAGAGAGAGAGGGGAGAGAGAGAGAGGAGAAAGAGGATAGAGAGGAGAGAGAGAGGAGAGAGCAGAGAGAGAGAGAGAGAGGAGAGAGAGGAGAGAGAGAGGAGAGAGCAGAGAGAGAGAGAGAGGGGAGAGAGGG